CACCGTTACGGGGAGCCAGAGCCAGCCACCTCGTTCTGGGATGACTCCGCGTGACGCTGATAGATGCTCACCAAGGCGGGGCAGCTGGCATCAGAGACGTCCCCCCGGCTGGGCAGCAGCGGTGCGGTGGACCCCGCCGTCCATCTCGGCCGCCGCCGCTCTGGGCAGCCGGCCTGTTCCCGTCGTCTCGTGACCCTAGCCCACTCCGCTGGGACGGCGGCACCGCCGCATGGTGGCTCGTCTCTGGCGGCTGTCTCGATGCCCCACTCTGAGCCCCGCCCGGGCGTGTGCCTATCGGCAGCACCTGGAGGACTGCGCCCGGTCTACTGCACCCCGCTGGTGGGGCTTTGCGCTTTCTCCTCTCGGGAGGCAGCGGTGCCTGAGGCGGTCTCTGATGCCGTGGTGTAACCAGAGAATCGCAAAGGACCATGTTGCCACCCAGTAGATCGAGAAATGACATGAAAGACGACAGTCAATGCTTGGGATGCTTCATTAAAATCACGGAGTTGGTTTTCACCAGTTGTAATCTCGCGGAAGGGATATCACTTCAGGTGAATGATATTGGGACAGCGAGTACAGCGAGCCTAGGGCTGTCGTAAAGAACATTACAGCATCAAATTGTAACACCTAGCCTGGAATTGGTTCTGTCGATGCCTTACCCAGCAGCCTCACTAAGATCAGAATCAACTCCAGTTAATTCTCTCGGTGGTGATTAGAGACGGCAGCGAGCATCGCCCAAATGACCCTAAAAATTGGTCAGCTTAAGCGTTAAGAGTAAATTTATAAAAATTTGAAAGTACGGACAATACTATTGCGCGAAAGAGGGATTTATTATGCCACAACTGTACCCGCTTCTGTGAATGAGCCACTCGTTATAATGGAAAATCGTGCGTAATTCTGCTGCTAAACAATATGATACGACACAACCCAGCACTCATTTCATCTGATACCGATCTCAGGTCAGTCAAAATTAGAATTGCATCGCCGGATTGGCGTCATAATCGAGCACTGCGATGATACCAGCCGCCAGTACGTGCGTCATCGCACCCGCTGTCCCTCCTTGTCTCCCCGGGGTTACCTGTAACACACGGCCCGTGTCTCCTGTAATACATGGCCCGCGTCTGTCGACAGTCCCTGCCTCACCGCGCCCGCTGTCCCTCCTCGTCTCCCCGGGGTTACCTGTAACACACGGCCCGTGTCTCCTGTAATACATGGCCCGCGTCTGTCGACAGTCCCTGCCTCACTGCGCCCGCTGTCCCTCCCCCTTTCCCCGGGGTTACCTGTAACACACGACCCGTGTCTCCTGTAATACATGGCCCGTGTCTGTCGACAGTTCTTGCCTCACCGCGCCCGTCGTCCCGCCTCGCTTCCCCGCAGTTACCTGCAGTACACAGTCCGTCTCTCCTGTAACACATGACCCGTGTCTCCTGTAATACATGGCCCGCGTCTGTCGACAGTCCCTGCATCACTGCGCCCGCTGTCCCTCCCCCTTTCCCCGGGGTTACCTGTAACACACGACCCGTGTCTCCTGCAATACATGGCCCGTGTCTGTCGACAGTTCTTGCCTCACCGCGCCCGTCGTCCCGCCTCGCTTCCCCGCAGTTACCTGCAGCACACAGTCCGTCTCTCCTGTAACACACAGCCCGTGTCTCCTGTATTACATGGCCCGCGCCTGTCGACAGTCCTTGCCTCACCGCGCCCGTTGTCCCACCTCGCTTCCCCGGAGTTACCTGCAACACACAGTCCGTCTCTCCTGTAACATGCGGCTCCTGAAACACGCGGCCTACGTCTCCTGTAACACGCGGCCCGTGTCCCGTGCAACACATGGCCCGTCTCTCCTGTAACATGCGGCTCGCAGCTCCTATAACACATGGCCCGTCTCTCCTGCAACACACGGCCGGCGATTCCTGTAACACACCGCCCGTCCCTCATGTAACACGCGGCCCGCGTCTGACGACAGTTCGCCAGCCGTCCGATGCTGCCGCCACCAGTAACAGCGCGCGGTACACCCGCGCTCCTACCGTGACGGTCTTCCGGACCGGTATCTCCGTGCCCGCATCGTTGCGTCCATCACACTCTACCGTGACGGTCTTCCGGACCGGTATCTCGGTGCCCGCATCGTTGCGTCCATCACACTCTACCGTGACGGTCTTCCGGACCGGTATCTCGGTGCCCGCATCGTTACGTCCATCACACTCTGCCGTGACGGTCTTCCGGACCGGTACCTCGGTGCCCGCATCGTTACGTCCATCTCACTCTGCCGTGACGGTCTTCCGGACCGGTACTTCGGTGTCCGCATCGTTACGTCCATCACACTCTGCTTCAACACGACCATGACTGTGCGCCTTTGAGACACACTCTGATTCAACACGTTCATGAAGTGCGCCTGATTAGCCTGCGCGGATGATGATGTACGGACTTGCATGTCGTTCACCGTCCGTAAGAGCATGCCAGGTTGTGCTTGCGGCAATCTAAGCCCGGCGCAGCTGAGCAAAGGAATGTCTCTCGCAACGCACTCTGATCGGCGTGCCTTATTGTCTCCCAGGCTGATTGCTGACACCACGGGCTCAGAGCCGCATTGGGGGAATGAGCTCAATGTTGGGGTTTGTGCTGTATGGACAGCATGTGCCTGTCTCTGTACTGATTGGTCTGTTCCGTGCTGACAGCACTTGCCTGTCCCCAATCTGTCACGTCTGTCCCGTGCTAGCTGCAGGTGCCTGTCCTGGTTTGGACCCTGTTTCCTGTGCTGACAGCGTTCGCTAGTCTCTAAGACAGAATCTGTCTATTGTGTTAAAGGCTCGTGCCTGTCTCTGAACTGAAAGCCCTGTCCCTGAGCTAACCAGCCTGTTTCTGAGCTTACCGGTCTGTTCCTGAGCTTACCGGTCTGTCCCTTTGCTCACCGGTCTCTCCCTGAGCTGACAAGTCTATCCCTGAGCTGACGGGGCTGTCCCTGAACTGACAAGTCTGTCCCTGAGCTGACAAGACTGCCCACGAGCTGACGAGTTTGTCCCTGACCCGACCGGTGTATCCCTGATCAGACGGGTGTGTCCCTTAGCTGACGAGTTTGTATCTGGCTTGATGGGCCAGTCCCTGAGTTGATAGCTCTGTCCCTGAGCTTACGGGGGTGTACCTGACCTGACGAGTCTGACCCTGAGCTGATGAGTTTGTCCCTGAGCTGACGGGTCAGCCCCTGAGCTGACGGGTCGGCCCCTGAGCTGACGGGTCGGCCCCTGAGCTGACGAGTCTGACCCTGAGCTGATGAGCTTGTCCCTGGGCTGATGTGTCAGCCCCTGAGCTGACGGGTCTGCCCTGTCCAGCTGCAGGAGCGGCCGCCCGGGATGGCGACGCAGGCCGTCCGCCGGCTCGGCAGGGGTCTGCAGGCGGCCGGCAGCGCCGTGCAGAACGCCCTGCGTCTCCTCACCAGGTCTGGCCAGCAGCAGCGCCAGCAACAGCACCAACACGCCTAGTGCTGGCTTCCGCGACACCAGGCCTGGCCAGCAGCAGCGCCAGCAACAGCACCAACACGCCTAGTGCTGGCTTCCGCGACACCAGGCCTGGCCAGCAGCAGCGCCAGCAACAGCACCAACACGCCTAGTGCTGGCTTCCGCGACACCAGGCCTGGCCAACAGCAGCGCCAGCAACAGCATCAACTCGCCTAGTGCTGGCTTCTGCATCACCGGGCCTGGCCAGCAGCAGCACCAGCAACAGCACCAACTCACCTAGCGCTGGCTTCCGCAGGCTTCACTGCGCGCAACAGTTGTGTAGCGAAGCCGTTGGGGCCTGTGGTGGCAGTCGAGCCTTTGGACCTGGCTGGAGCCACATGACTGTTTTTAAGGCACTTAAAATCGCACAGCAGGAGATACTTGAGTTCTAATCTAACGGAAATACCACTATGTGGCACTCCCGCAAACAGATTGAAATGAACAATTCTTGAATGTAAGCTACTTGTCAAAAAAGGAAATATACCACATGAATCATGAGGCGGCATGGACGTCTGCATATATAACTGAAAACGCATTTTTGGGTCGGCCCGGTCTCCCAATTTGCCATAGAAATAGGAAATAGCCAGTTCTTTCTTCATAATTTAAACTAGACCATTACATGTAGCTTGTATCACTTGTCACCTGCAAACTGCATGACTCTCCCCTCTAATCATGATATGCGACGCATGTTATTCACTGTCGTATATATGGGAAGAGCCTGTTGTGCGAAACCGCAGCTGTATGGGAGCAGTCAGAGGTCCTCTCCGGCCGGAGCTCAGAGGTTCCTCGCGGCCAGAGCGCCCCAAAAGCTCGCGCACAGATCACCATGCGAGAGCGTGACGTACTGCGTGCGCCGATACGGCCGTCTCCGGGAACCGTACAAGCATTGTTGCTTGTTACCCGTTTCCATGGAGCTTAAGCAACATATTTCAGACCATTTTAAGCTTCAGGACATCTCAAAAGTTTTCAAAATATTACCGATGTCGGGAAGCTGCAAACGGTCAGCCCAGTCATAGCACAGTCAGTAGAGGTATTTAAAGCAACCATAATGGTTCGAACTAGTGCGAGTTTTAACATTCGTGCAGGATTTTCCGCATGCCCTAACAGATGCTACAGAATAAACGTTCGTGAAAGCTTGCGTTATATTTGACTTCTGGCTGTGAGCTGTGAGTGTGCTGCGAGTGAGCTTCGGGTGAGCTGTGAGTGAGCTATGAGTGACTGCGGGCGAGCTGTAAGCTGCGAGTGAGCTTCGGGTGAGCTGTGAGCTGTGATTTGTGGGTGAGCTGTGAGTGAGCTGCGAGTTAGCTGCGGGTGAGCTGTGAGTTGTGAGTGAACTGTGAGGAGCTGCGGGTGAGCTGTGAGCTGTGAGTGAGCTGTGAGTGAGCTGCGGGTGAGCTGTGAGCCGTGGGTGAGCTGTGGGTGAGCTGTGAGTGAGCTGCGGGTGGGCTGTGCGCAAGAGGCGGATGACAGGCTGGAAATCAGCGCATACACAAAAGGATAACACCAGTACACGCAAACCGTATGAGCGCAGTTGTATATTTGCATGTCACGCTACATGTTGCAAGACAACAAACGAAGGCCAGGCGTAGATGAAACCGCAAGGCCGGCCAATACAACACCAATCAAGATCACAACCAGGATGCCCAATACCTCATCTGATTGTTATGATACTAGCTGGATGGGACTGAGGAAGTGCCTTTACAAATGCCTTCACAATACAATGCCTTTCGCTGGCGAAACCCAAGCCTATTCGGACAAGAAAACGCTGCTCCGTTGCACTGCACCACAACACATGACCATACTATTAGCATTACAGTATACCGCTGGCGAAAAAATGTTGCACTTGGGCAAAAGGCAGCAACCTATCGAATTTGAGCTTTGTGGCGCATGTAGCCCATCCCACCTCCAGCGTGAGCTGATCCGGGCCTGGTACATGGAAAAAGCGGACAGTCCCAGCTGTGATGCGACCTGTTGCTGGGACGGTGGCGAGTGCAGCGCCTCTCAATGGGCACGCCCTGCGACCCACACACCCCCAGACAGCAGCTCCCCGTCTGCCATGAGTCCGGCGGCGCCCGCTCCTGACAGGCGGCACCACGATAGACCTGTACAGGCGGCTGTGGAGGTCCGAGCACGCCTGACTGTCCTGCCTGCACGCCACGGCCGCTCCCGACAGGCGGCACCACGATAGACCTGTACAGGCGGCTGTGGAGGTCCGAGCACGCCTGACTGTCCTGCCTGCACGCCACGGCCGCTCATAAGACTAGATATCCCCAGCACAACTAACACGACTTTATGAACGACTAGACGATGCTCTGTTTGCACTGTAAGCCAGATCACACAAAATCACAAGTTTTCATACTTGGCTTTTCGTAACAGCTCGAAACTCTGCCCACGCGGCTGTCCCGCCCTGTCCCAGAGCTCCATCCACTGCCAACAGCGCACGAACCGCTTCGTCATCGTCGTCATTGGGGCTTTACGACGTACTCAGCTGCTGAGACTGTGGCGTCGCCTGCCCCTGATTCTGGCAGGAAGGAGGGGCACCGCGGGAATCGAACCCCGTGTCCGGCTTCCAGAGGCGCAGCGGTTGACGCAAACACGTTGACCATTACACTTTCGGTACCCTGACGAACCCTTCACGCAAAAGAGACACGTATCACTCGAAACTCCCTGGTTACAGGTACCATGGACGGACAGCTACTGGCTACGTCGAATACTGTGGCAGGTATAGTATATTACCTTTGGTACTAAAAGCTCTGACAGATAAATTCCCGAACAGCAACCATAACGCACCTGTGGCGCTTCAGTCGGGATTTCCACTCGGCGTACAAGGTGACATCACTCAAAAATATAACGGATCCAAGCAGCCTACTGTCGATTAGGAATGGTAAAGCAGTGGACCACCAAGGACGACTAGACTCTCATCACAACGTTATCCGCCCCACACAAAACGGAGCGATACTACGGCGAACGAATCTGGTACAACTGAAATATGCCCCAGACCAGTCCCACACACTTACCCACACAGCGTGGTGACTAGTACGCATCACCACATCAGCCAAAATAAGATGGTGTAATGCCAGCAGCTAACAACGCAAACACCTTAGAGACGGTCCCACGCCCCAGTGGCCCTGTTACCAGTCCCGCAGTTGCCCTAGAGTCTACTGTGAGCCGCCTCAGCCGGCGACGTTCGTCTGGAACGGACTGACGTCGAGACAAATGGGCGCCGCGGCCGTGGCCGCCTGCTCAAGCTGACCGCTTTGTGTCGGCGCCGCGGCCGTGGCCGTCCGGTCGCTCGGCCGTGCCCAGGCTTGCACCGTTGCGCGCGGCGCCCCGAGTCACGTCCGGCAGAGGCGCGGCGCTCAGTAACACATGCGTGGCCTGGCTGAACTCCTCCAGCTCGTCGAACACGTCCAGGTCGGGCGTGTCCAGTTGGAAGTAGCGCCGTGAGCGGGCTGGCCAGAGCAGGTGCGTCATGATGGCGAACGCCAGGAAGTCGGCCGAGCCAGACAGCGCTGCAGTCAGACACCCACCGACAGGTCAGACACACACCGACAGGTCAGACACTTACCGACAGGTCAGGCACCCACCAACAGGTCAGACACCCACCGACAGGTCAGACACTTACCGACAGGTCAGGCACCCACCGACAGGTCAGACACTCACCGACAGGTCAGACACTCACCGACAGGTCAGACACTTACTGACAGGTCAGACACCCACCGACGGTTCAGCCACTAACCGATAGGTCAGACACCCACCGACAGGTCAAACACTCACCGACAGGTCAGACACTCACCGACAGTTCACACACCCCAACTGGGCACAGATCACAACACAAACACACTAGATGTTGCACGGGACATTTGTGTCTGGCTTCGGATCGTTTTGCTTATATATACATGAAAAATATATTACGTCAAATTGTCTAGTCCACGCACAATAAAAGCACTAGCCCAGCATGACACAAAACACTTTCGTGGCTGCTCTTTGTGCATTTGGTAATTGATCCAATCATATCCTTATAAATGGTTACACATCTGAATATATCTAGACGTGGCAACATTGTCACTTGCTGAGACTTGCTCTGAACGATGTGTGTGATGAACAATCTATACAAGCAGAGTGCTCCTCGCTGCCGTGAGGCAGAGGCAGCCGGGCAGCACATGATCTGCCGTCTAAGGTCCCGACGGCGCCAACCCCTCACCCAGCAGCAGCTTGTGGCGCCAGAGGGCGCTGATGGTGAGCGCTATCAGCGCCACCACCGGCAGGTAGAGAAACCAGAGGAGCGAGGCGGCGCCGAAGTGCAGCAGGAACTGGAGCCGCGTCTCGGCGCGCTGGCCGGCCATGGTGGCGCGCAGCTCCCACAGGAACCAGCACATGATGGCCAGCCGCAGCGCCAGCGCCAGCCAGCCCGGCCACGTCTGGTACTCGTCGATGTCGTATATCACGTCCACCTCCGTCTGAGGGTTTACGTTCATGTTCAGGCTCAGGTTGACGTTTATGTTGACGTTGACGAGGAGACTGAGGTTGAGGTTGAGAAAGGGGGTGAGGACCAGGGAGGTGGCGGCCGTCGCATGCCAGCCCCTTTCGACGCAGCAGAAACGCTGAGCAGGCCAAATTTATGACGGGACCTGGGACGCACCGTTTCAGCTGTCTTTTATGACGGGACCTGGGACGCGCCGTTTCAGCTGGCTTTTATGACGGGACCTGGGACGCACCGTTTCAGCTGTCTTTTATGACGGGACCTGGGACGCGCCGTTTCAGCTGGCTTTTATGACGGGACCTGGGACGCGCCGTTTCAGCTGGCTTTTATGACGGGACCTGGGACGCGCCGTTTCAGCTGGCTTTTATGACGGGACCTGGGACGCGCCGTTTCAGCTGGCTTTTATGACGGGACCTGGGACGCGCCGTTTCAGCTGGCTTTTATGACGGGACCTGGGACGCGCCGTTTCAGCTGGCTTTTATGACGGGACCTGGGACGCGCCGTTTCAGCTGGCTTTTATGACGGGACCTGGGACGCGCCGTTTCAGCTGGCTTTTATGACGGGACCTGGGACGCGCCGTTTCAGCTGGCTTTTATGACGGGACATGGGACGCGCCGTTTCAGATGGCTTTTTGCTTTATCATTCGTTGACCTTATGGCTATGTAGCTTCCGGGGACCTGACCTCATACGGGGGTTAAATTCAATATGGGTGTCCAACATACATCGTTCTAATATCACAGAAATTCATCTCTTCGTGTTCATATACACATTTAAGATTATTCATTCGCACATCCGTAAGGTTTCTATCGTACATTCAAGGTCATTTGCGTGCAACCCTGATGACAATTTGCGAAAGGGAGCAGCCATGCCAAAAGCGAGATGACCTTCTTCAAAACTGTTGCTCTTCAAGCCATTAAGGTGCAGGAAGCATGTAGACAATGTTACCGCCACCTCATCAGATGTTGCCACGTTCAATGTGAACAGCCCCCGCCCCACCCAAAAA